CACTGCGGCCTCAAGAAAACATCTGTTGGAATCCTACAATCCTTTAGAGCATTCTGGAATCCATTAGGATTCATGAGCCTCCATGGGTGGATCATTTTAACCAGGACCCTGCTCATTTGTGGTGTTGGAGCCGGCGAGACCTCGCTGCTGCCGCTGGCGGGGGAGGAAGGAGAAAGTTGGGCGGGCCGATGAGGCCTCCCCACCGAGGGGAGGGAGGGAGGGAAGGAGAAATTTCGTCGGGCTGGGAAGGGGGAAAGCTTGGCGGGCCGGCAAAGCCTCGCCAACACCACCGGGGGGAGGAGAAAGTTTGGCGGGCTGGCGAGGCCTTGCCACCCTCGCCGTGGGTGCTGGGGACGGGGGGGACAGGGGAGAAGGCTCAGCTGCGGCTGCTTCTCCCATGGAGCGTCTCCCCCCCGCGAGTATCACGGGTCCCCCTTCTTGTATTTATCTAATTCCCTCTTGAAGCCGTCCATGCTTTCCTCTTGAAGCCGTCCAACACCTCCTGTGGCAGTGAATTCCATGTGTTCTTCCAGGCCATCCCCCAGAGCAATATTAAATATTACCTCGATTTTTTAAAAATGTATTTATTTAAGCAGTATTTATTTTATTTTTTAAAATGCATTTATTTTTTAAAATGTATTTATTTAAGCAGTATAAGCAAAATAAAACCCTGTGGTGCCCCCCTTCCCTTGGTGTGCGTGCTTATTTTGCTTAATGGTTAATCCAGGTCTGTGAAGTCCCCCCCAACTCGTAATTCCTAAAATATTTTTTCCCTTTACAAGCCAAGCCCTGCTCATGTTCTCAGACCCTCTACTGTAGCTTCTCTCACATTATGTAACCCCCAGCTGCTTACTTACAAAGATTAAGACGAAAAGAAAGAATTGTAGGAAATGTGGTTGCCTTGTAAACACTCCATTCCCCCCTCACCTTCCAACAGGCAAATGTTTGTCTTCTTCAGGCCCATTTCCACTCAGGAAGAACCAGCAAGTGTGAGAGAGGGAACAGAAAAGGCAAACACAATAGAAGAAGGTAAGCATGCAAAAGTATGCAAGCAGCATTAGTTGTGGTGCAAAAGATTGATCATTCAGAGACCAAGCTGGGCTTGTGGCCAGCTAGCTGCTGACTACTGGTTACATGTACATTTTCTGTACTGCGCACATGCGCTACCTTTTACTGAGTCTATGGGTAAGTAAGATATGTAAGGAAGACAGGTGCTCCCCAAGAGGAGACTTCCTGTCTATTGTCTTACATAAGAGCCTCTCAAGCAGAGCTCTTTCCCAGCACTCTAGGTGAAATAACCCCCCCCCTCAAGTGTTGAAACAGCCGCAGGGGCGGAATGTGGCCATTTCAGCAACAGGGAAGACATGGAGGGGAGGGGGGACAAGATTGCTTCCGTCTATCTTGCTGCAGGCCCAGTCAGAATCAGTTCTCACAGCATTTTTTAAATGACTTTAAAATGGCAGTCGTGTCCTTGTGATGGCCACAAGGATGCCATCATGTCTCGCTTGGCCCTAATCCCATTGACCCAAAAGGGTTTAATTCTGGGATCACACAGTGCAGTCCTAAACAATGTTACAAATAAGGAAAGAAGTTCAGATTTCATTCTTAACAGGTGATTTTTGGCCACAAGTGGCAACAATCAAGAATGTATTTTAAAGATGACCCCATCAACTGACAGAAAAATTGAACAGCCACAGAAAAAAATTGTATAGCTTTCTTTAATTGCCCTATTATATTTGGTCAAGTTAGTTCAACACTCTATCTTATTTATTTTATTTTATTTGTTAGATTTATATCCTGCCCTTTCTGCAAGTGGGCTCAGGATGGGTAATATCAGAAGTTACAAAAACATTAAAAACCAATTATTACAGCAAATATTAAAAAAATTAAAAGATGGCAAAAGATGTATTAAGGATAATTAACTGGAAAGCCGTTATTTGTGGGCTATTAACTTTGTGTCCAACACTCTCTGTGGTGACATGGGGTTGGTTCCTTATAGTGCTGCTGTCTGTGCTGCTGGTGGCAGGACTCTTGAGCAAGCAGATCACATTCCCGCCCCCCCCTTCCAGAAGTGTGTTGTGCCAGACTAGTTTTTCTGCTTGTGCCAAGTGCTTTGAAAGGTACAGAATACAGTATTTAGAAACATGTAATGAAAAAGTACTTTTTGATCCCTTTGGAAATGTAAAAGCTCTCTCCTATAGGGGTACATGAGGGATGTTATAGTGAAACTTGCACTGTGCTTGCACAAATTGAAAGATGGTAAGTCACAGTTTTGTTCTGTTGGTGGTTTATAGGATCATGGTTTCCAGTTTAATTGATAAATGTGTGTTGTGTTTTGGTGAAAATAGCTTCTTTGCTTGCCAGACTATCCTTCAATGAGAAGGGGTTATCACCATAACTCCTTTTTTTTTTCCAATTTAAAAGAGGGTTGTTGCCAACTTCAGACTAGGAAAGATGTCCAGTAGCACTGATGACTGATCAATATGCTCTTGCACACACCTCAATGTTTTAAAAATCATATACATAATGAAAATATCACATCTCTCTCATAGTGTCATATACAATCTCTATAGGACATGATACAGATGGGGTAAACCCTGTTTAGGAGCTTTGTCAATATCACTTGTGGTCCAGAGAGAAATTGAAACAGCTCAGGAGATAGATGTTCTAGATAGGGGCAGAGCACTTCTGCGGAAAAAAAATAAGAGGAAAAAGGCCTATGAGGGATGGGGATTGCTATGGAAAGAGGAAATAGCTATTCTGACACTGACCACTCTTTTTTAAACAGGCTGCATGAACATTTCATCATACTTGAGTGGAGGAATGCTTCATCTTTAAAGAATAAAACTGAACTAAAATGATTAATTATGCTAAAATTTGCTTTGGCAAATAAATAAATAAATAAAATAAAAATGCCTCAAGAATGGGGGGGGAGAGGAAGTTATCCTTCAAGGCTGGTGATGCTGTTGGCACTATCATACAGTTATTGGAACACTGACAGAATAACAGTCCATACAGCATTTGCAACTGCAATGGACTACCCGGTCTGGAGCATTATTAAGATTTGCACAAAAATGGACATTTCCACCAGCACAGATTTATCTAACAGGGATCTAATTGAATTCTTCCTTTTGTCCAGTTTTTAAAAGTACAGAAGCTGCTGCCTGACTCAAATTATATAAACTCAAAATACTACCAGAATTATTAAAATAGAAAGGGATATGACTAAATGGCAAAATATGAAGCTTCAGATCCATATACAATTGTAATTTGTAATGTATGAACAAATGGGAACTTCCTCAAACATCCCCACTCTAAAGACCAGAATGCTCTGACAGAGCACTTATGGAACTTAAATTTGTGTTCGAAAGAATTCAATGTAAAAACATGCTATAATGAGCAAGGCTGTTAGGGAAAACTGCATTCTTTTTTAACAAGTTGGGTCCAGGTTTCTGGGACCTGACCTATTTTCCCTGCAGCAGCTGCAGAGATCTACTTTCGGACATTATAGGGGCCCACTTCAGTTTAGAATTGTGGTATGGAGGAAAGGGATTTCTGCTCTCTTGTCCCAAGATGAAACTGCCCTTGGAGGGACATTATTTGGAGCCACACACCGCATCCCTCCTTTCCCCACACTACACTCCTAAACTATTACATTTTGATAGCCACTTGTTACATTTTGATAGCCAGCTCTCCCTGCAGAGATTGCAGGCACAGATAAATAAACTGGGTCTCAGATAAGTGCTTCCAAAGAGAGGGGAGGACAAATTCTATTGCTATTGAAGTGCAGGTACAACTGGTAGCAAGGTGGGAGTCTGAACACAGCTGTCTTTATGAATTTATAATACACTCTCACTCCTTACCCCATTATAGCCCAGAAACACAGTCCTTTGAGCAGTGTGCACTGAGATAACAGCCCTTGCCTAAAAATCTTGTTTAAGTATTTTAAAGCAGTTTTCTCCAGGTATCCAGCAGGCGATGAGTTTGGTCAGAGGTATCTCCCTGGATTTGTTCTTAATTTCCAAATAATTTTTTCCTGTATACAAGCCTACTAAAGCAACGATTTAAATGTGTTAAAAACACGTTTAAATGTTATAACACAATTATAGGAGCTTTAGGCCGTAGTTTTGACATTAACTACTTTGTAAAGATTGACCGGCCAACTGTAAAGTCAGAAGACTTGGGAAGGTAACGTAGAAATCGTGCTCGAGAAAGCAACGCGAGCCTGGCCGTAAAGCAGCAGACCGTAAAAACCTGAGAAGACACGCTGGATAGGGGTGAGGGACGGAAGTAGAATTGAAGGGACCTGCTCGCCACTCGATGTTCTTGGAGCAGTTTCGTTTAAAATCTCGAAGTTCTGGAATTTTGCCGTTCTTTAAGGACATTCAGGTGGGAGTCAGAGTTGGAGGAAAGAGGAACCAGCTAGACTGGCCGAACGGGTTAAACGAACCTGACATACCGCTGGTCGGGAGCATTTGTTGTGAACAGCGGTGGGCGAAAGAGGTAGGACAGGGGAAGCTGCAACTCCGCGCGCACTTGCTTAGGGACCAGTCGCATGGAACTAAGTGTGCGTACAATTGGGCTGGAAGCGGCTTTACAAAACGCCGCCTACGTCAGCCACAATGCAACAGTAAGCGATGTCTGAACAAGCCACATGCGCACGGGCGACATGAGTAATAGTTTCACACTGCAGAATTAAGCCTTTTTAACACAGAGATGGGTACTGTCTTAAAAAATATTTAACACAGAGTGATGCCCCGACCGAAACGCGAGTTTCTTCATAACCCCTCCATCCCCTTCCCTTTGTCGAAAACGCCCACAACAATTTTTCTAACTGCGCACGCGCAAAGTCCGACCTCACGTGTTTACCTTCCCTCACTCCCGTAATTTAGGCGCCGTCGAGCGCCCTCCCCCGTGGTTCGCCTAGATTGCACCAGTGCTTTCCGCCTATCGTTGAGCGTCAACGGTGTCACGTGGGTCCAGGTTCCATTTTGTGGCGCAGTTAGACACTGGGTTGGTTAGTCGAGAGTCAGTCGTCGCACGGTAAGGTTGAGGGGCGGTGGATCGGCGAGTGTCGACAAACTTCTGCACAGCCAGAGATCTTGGTCTTAATTATCAAGACGTAGTGCAGGTTTGTGAAGATTGAGCGGGTTGCCAGGCAGATTTGGAGTCTGCTGCGAGAGCGAGCTCGGATGGGCGAAGGGAAGGTTGTGAAAATCCGTGTTAGGGGAGCATTTTGGGGCACATTCTGTGTGTGGGAAGGGCATAAGTAGGATTCAGTTTCTTGGGAAGAGCAGATGAGGTGGGTTTTTTATGCTCAGGGTCATGATGTGGGCGTTATACCCGCTACTATGGGTGCGGCTCCGCCGCCATTTTGTGTTGGTGATGGCGTCGGTTTAGTTTTCCAAGCGCGAGAAAGTCAGAACGCATGCGCAGCTCGTTGCCTGTGTAGCTCGATGTTTTGTCATCAAAGGAGGAGGAGCAGATGTGTGGCGTTTTCTGATTGGCTTAGCGAGGGGCGGTGCTTAGTGCCCAGTTCCAATTGGAACCGCAGGAGGTATGAGGGGCTGCCTGGCTCTCTGCCTTTCTTGATGTCAGATTGCGGCAGAAAAAGGCGGAGCAGGGACTGCGGCATAGGCTGGTGGGCGATGCCAATCGCGGCTGACCTATTTTTGCGGCAGCCATCTTTCTGCATTTGTACGGCAGCGACTGAGAGGATCTCCGTTTATGGCTTTTTTCTCTTAACAGCTTGCTTTTTTCTGCAGCTCCCTCCATCTTGAGTGACACCATGAGTGGCTGCCGTGTGTTCATTGGGAGGTTGAATCCAGCAGCCAGAGAAAAGGATGTGGAGAGATTCTTCAAGGGGTATGGACGGATCCGAGACATTGACCTGAAAAGAGGGTTTGGATTTGTGGTAAGTGGAGGTGCCTGATGGATATTCAGCCCCAGGTGGAATGCACAAGCAGTGTTTGAGTGCTTAAATGGATCTTTTTTTGAGGAGAAATACCTAGTGAAACTTGGCTTGTGGACACATCTCTTCTTTTTAGCGGTACTTTTTGTTTCTCTGTGTCTGATATCAAGCTGGCAGTTCACTCTTTTAGAAAGCTTTTGCTGGAGTCTCAGTGAGGTCAACGTTTTAGTTTGTTCATGTAAAGCTGTATTTTAAGTTGCAGTTCAATAAAATTCTAATGCATGTTCTTTCTGTTCCACAGGAATTTGAAGATCCTAGAGATGCTGATGATGCAGTGTATGAGTTGGATGGAAAAGAACTTTGTAGTGAACGGTAAATCTTGAGACTATTTTTCCCCCTAAAGTAAAATGTTTTAGAATATGCAAGCATATTGTGAGGGACAAGTAAACAAGAAGCATTAATGGTCAAGTAACTTGAATCTGTGTTCTAAATTTTGTAAATATGTTTTTGATCCTTATTCACACAATTAAATACAATTATTTATTTCCCTTCTCTCCAGAGTTACAATTGAACATGCGAGGGCCCGTTCTAGAGGTGGAAGAGGCAGAGGGCGATACTCTGACCGTTTTAGTAGTCGGCGTCCACGAAATGATAGAAGGTATGTGCCTGTTAGATCCAGTAGTATGGCTGCATTCAGATGTTGCAACATTTCTGGGTCTGACAGATGCAAATATAGCTTGTCCTTGTGCAATCTGTGTTGGATATCTGCTTATATCAGACTATAACTCGTTTCGGGTTCCTTTTTTCAAGTTCCAATTTGTAAGGCTTAAAGCATGTGTCTGATCAGGGTTTGTTTCTTGAACCCCAAATCGGCATGCTAAACCATGGATTAATTTAGGTTCAGAATCCCATGGGGTGGAAACTAACTCCAGGCAGCCACATTTGGACATTGCAGCAAATAGATATTTTCCTGGGGATTCTGAGACCAGGAGGATTTCAGTGTAGTTCTGTGAAGAAGGTGGTGCACAGGCATGAAATAAGCTGCATTTTGGCTGAGCAGAGACGTCGTCATTGAATGAGGCCTCTTCAGGGGAAGTTGCTTTTGCTTAATTCAGTCTTTAGTGGGCGTAATGATACTACTTTTATTCCGTGCAGAAATGCTCCACCTGTAAGGACAGAAAATCGACTTATTGTAGAAAATTTGTCATCTAGAGTCAGCTGGCAGGTTTGTTATCTCTCTTTAGACTCGGGATTAACTGGTATGTAATGTATATAATATTTTAAATAAAACTATTTTTTATCTTAAGATAAAACATCAAATTTATTAATAGTTAAATGTTTAAATATGTTTTCAAAAGTAGTTTTAATAATAATATTTTAATGTAATTTTACCTTGTTTTCAAAATCTATTTTAACCACTTTAAAAATCCATTTTATTTGCCAGCCTATCTGTGTCGTTGGCCTTATGACGAGGAGTGCCTGTGGGTTATCCTAATCGTTCTGTCTTGGTCACTCTTGGTTGGGCCTGGTTGACTTTTCCAGTCAGCTCCTCCAGTGTATCAGTTGGCCACCTCTAGATCTGTGTTTGCCGGTCTAGACGTAATCGATGCACTTCCTTAAAGTGCCGGGTTGCGGCGATCCCCGAGAGTTAACGAGATCTGATTCCTAAGTTGAGAACTGTTCCTCGTGTAACGCTTCGAAATAAGAGATCCTGATCAAGAGAGTTGAAAGATACGCATTAGGTGGTCGTTGGAATCCTGATCGCAGTAAAGTTGTCCTTGGTGTAACTGCTCAAGCATAGAAAATGTCTGGATCTGCAAGTAGTCTACTAATAGGGAGGGCTGTGCGATTAAAGGCTTCCATCGACTGGGTAGTGTTCTTCAAATGGTTGGCGAAGAGCCAGTCGGGCATATATCATGACGGTATCTTCGATCGCTTAATGCAGTTTGCTGCTTGGCTAGCCTAGGGAAATTTTAATGAAGGTAAAGTAAACTATATTTTTAATGGCATATGGGGCACAAAATAATTGGTGCTTTTGTAAATGTAATGTTTAATCATAAAACATTGCTTCGGAATGCTTTGTTTACAAATAAGCTGCCTTTCATTCCGTTCAGTAAAGTGCATAGAAAAATAATTTAATGTTAAACTTGAGCATTTTGCTTAAAGCAATTTGCTGTTTTCATTTATTTCGTGCCCTGATGTATTCTATCAAATATAGAATTATCTTCAAGTGTGGCATCTGCCACATTTTAATTCTTAACATCTTTTCTTACAGTAGTAATTTTTAATATTATGCTTCAGTGCTGTCTATTCCTTTGTGTAATATATTTGATCTCGTGTTAGGACCTCAAAGACTTCATGAGGCAAGCTGGGGAGGTAACCTTTGCAGATGCACATAGACCTAAATTAAATGAAGGGTAAGCCTCTTGAGAGTATATCTTAACATGTTCTGAAATTATGTTAATATGTAGAATTTTTAAAATCTCTTTGTCAAGCTGATTTGTATCTTTTAATTAGGGTGGTTGAGTTCGCCTCTTACAGTGATCTAAAGAATGCCATTGAAAAACTGTCTGGCAAAGAAATCAATGGAAGGAAAATTAAACTAATCGAAGGCAGCAAAAGACATAGGTAAGAATGCTAGCATGGAAACCAGTTTGTTTATTACGTTTGGTGTAATTAGGATGGAAGTATATGCTGTGTAGAGCCCGATTTTTATGTATTTTGTTTTAACTTTTATCAGTAGGTCAAGGAGCAGGTCTCGCTCTCGTAGTAGGAGCTCTTCGCGGTCTCGCAGCCGTTCTCGCTCCCGAAGCCGTAAATCTTACACCAGATCCAGAAGCCGTAGCCGTAGCAAGTCACGTTCAGTTAGTAGATCTCCCGTTCCGGAAAAGAGCCAGAAACGTGCTTCTTCAAGTAGATCCAAGTCTCCAGCTTCCGTGGACCGTCAGAGATCTCGCTCAAGGTCGAGGTCTGTTGATAGTGGCAATTGAGTTGCCTTGGGGACTTAAAAACCATACTTGCTAGTAGTGATGGTAAGTATGTGACTTCTGGAACAGAGAATGAATGAGGGAGGGAATGGGACTTAACAGCCTTGTATATGCGGACCACAGAAGTTGTTGAACTAATTGTATTGTCTTTTTGATAATCTTTTTCCTGCTCACTTCGTTAAGTCAGAAGTGTATAGCTTTGTGTATATTGGTAGAGCTCTTTATAAAGAATTAATCTTTTGTATTTTAAAAAAACCTGGTTTCTGAACATTTAGTTCTAGGTGTATTCTTGTATTTGGCATTTCAGGGTGTTCAATGTTTGGAATTGGTTACAGAGCTCTATACTGGCTGTTAATAAAGCTTTATTTCAGATTTGTGGTGTTTCCATGCATTGCTTGCTGCCTTGGCCAAATCTAGTCATGTTCGTTGCTATTGACAATAAATTTATTCAAAACCTTGTGTGTCTTTCTTTCTGTAGGCTTTTTTAACTAGGTTGGTTGTTTTAACTGTTAAAGCTGTGTTGACAGTATGTTTGTGCCTGGTATCTTTCTAAGTGTTGGGACAAAGAATTAAGATGCCACATTTCCAGACTCAAGTTCTAGCTGGCTACATACAGAATCATGGTCATACTAGCATATGAAGGTAAAGCTGCTGTCAGATAGGAGTAAGGTACAGCTTGTTAAGTAACTGCTCAACAGCACTTACGTTAAAAAAATCATTTGTACCGTTAAGGCCTTTTGAGTTTGAAGAGTATAATGTAACAAGAAATTGCTATATCTTTTTTGGACGCTTTTTCCAAACTATAGATCTAAAATAAGTATACACGCACACATCCTGTTTCATGATTTGATTTGCTAGTTGCTGTTACTGGGCAAAGTCTACTGAAAATGTAGCTGATGTTTTCTAAGCTGTAGCCGAGGGCAACAGTACACCAGATCAGAAACAGTCGTGGAGGAAGTTGTATACCAAAGCAAAGTTTTGCTCCTTGACACAAGACTCATGCTGGGGTGACTAAAACATCCCATTTATGGGAGAACTTGCCTTGACACCAGGTGGGTCTTTGGCAACAGTCTGTCGTATTGAAAATAACAAGTAGGAACTCACAAGGATTTACTGGTGGTGGAGCGGTAGAGGTACAACCTCTGCGGCGTATGCTATAAGATCCACCTCCTAAAATAGCCATTTTTTCCAGGGGACCTGGTCTTTGTCATATAGCAGAGCCATTAGTTCTGGGTGATTTGGAAGGTGGGGTATGGTATTCCCTCAGTTGCTATTAAACAACCAAAGTGAAATTTCTGTTAGTAAAAGGTGGGAGGGGGCAGGGCCCCTTGCAGAGTGGTTCTGGTCTTTGAAGGATTCATTGAAGCTAGGCTATGGTAGCTACCTCCAGATAGGGGAGTTGTGGAGATTTGGGGGGGGGAGGGAATCTAGGGAGAGCATAGACTTCACCCAAAGTAGCCATTTTCTTGGGGTGGGGGCAGGAGAGAACCCTGTCACCTGGAGGTCAGTTGTAATTCTGGGAGATCTCCAGGTTTTACCTGGGTTGGCACTGCTAGTTCCCCTGAAGGGTGGAGTATGGCATTGTAGTCCCCTGAGGTCCCTTCTTTCCTCAAGACCTACCCCCCCCCTCGCTCTAGTCCCAAAATCTCTGGGAATTTTCTAAAGTAGAATTGGCAACTGTCTGTCCTTCCCACCTACAGCTACCTCCTTTATCTGTTTCTTGATCTCCCCACCCCCAAACAGCTTTACTGAGGAAAATTGATCCTGTTGTGTGGGGCCAGCCAGTGGGCCAGGCTGACTTGCATGGTAGGGAGCCTTCAAGGATTTGTGTAGGGACGCCTCATTTGCTCCTGTGTCATCCTCGCCACCTCCTTTATTCCCCTCTACACCCTCTATACTCCTCCCTTTCTTTCATTCTCCACAGTGATTCACCAACTTTATGTCCAATCTTCAGCTATATTATTTGTAAAGGTAAAGGTTCCCTTGTTTGAAAGCCAGTGGAAATTGACTCTAGGGTTGCGGTGCTCATCTCTGTTTCAAAGCCGAAGAGCCAGCGCTGTTACCTTCCCACCGAAGTGGTACCTATTTATCTACTTGCAATTTGTTGCTTTTGAACTGCTAGGTTGGCAGCTGAAACTAGAGATGGGCGCTCACTCTGTCATGCGGCACCCGGGTCTCGAACCGCTGAACTACTGACCTTCCACAGCCTGCAGTTCAGTGTCTTAACCACTTGAGCCACCGCAGCTCCATATATTACTTGCACCTTAACCTTTTTCTGCAGTAGGGATTTTTATTCACACAGCAGCTTTGTGAGGTGAGTTAGGATGAAACTGACTGGTTAAAATTCACCCAGTGAGCTTCCACAGCCACATAGCTATTTGAACCTGGGTTTTGCGGGGTGGTTCCTGTTTGAGGCAGAAAAGCCAAAATTTTCAAAACATTATAAAAATTAAATAACAATTTTATTACAAATCTGTACAACCTAGTATTCAATGACAGGACCGTTCTTTGGGAAGTTCGGAACCTTAATATTTTCAGATAAGCCTTATGTACTGCGAAGCTGTCTGGAGCAGTAATATTCTTTTAAAGTGTTTTTAACCTTTAGTGCAGAAGTTGCCCCTTTCCTGAGGTTGATACTTTGACATTCTGATTGCCAATGGGGAAAGCATTGTGCAGTATACTGGATCCATTTTTCACACTAGAGTACAGAGGGACTGGAATGCTTGCCCCACACACTGCCAGTTCCTGATCCCTTACCAAATGGCTGTTGATAGGAATAAGATGTAAACCTTAAGTAACTGTCCAGTGACATTTGCACACAAAGCTGTGCTGGGGGGTGTCATTTTTTTTAAAAGAAATGGTGTGAAAATGAGTTCTTCCCAACTCTTAAAAAAGGAGAAAAATTGACTCAAGGACATACCAGGATGGTTAATTATAATGGCCAATATCATGCCCCTATATAAAGTCCAGTCCAACACTGGCCAAAAATACCAGGCCAAAAAAAATTCCATCAGGAGGTCCAGCAGTGGGGCCAGGACACTAGAAGCCCTCCCACTGTTGACCCCCCAAGCACCAAAAATACAGAGCATCACCTGCCCCAGAGTCCCTATCCATACCTTGTGGCTAATAGCCACTGATGGACCTCTGCTCCATGTGCTTATCATTTTGAAGCTGTCCATGCTTGTAGCCGCCACCACCACCTCTGGCAGTGAATTCCATGTGTTAATCACTGGGTGAAGTACTTCCTTTTATCTGTTCTAACCTGAACGCTCAGCAATTTCATGAAGTGCCCACTTCTTGTGAGAAAGGGAGAAAAGTACCTCTATACCTGCTCTATCCCATGCATAATCTTATACACCTTGATCATGTCACCCCTCCGCCGTCCTTTCTCCAAGCTAAAGAGCCCCAAGCTTTTTCTTCATAGGTAAAGTGTTCCAACCCTTTTATCATTCTAGTTGTGCTTTTCTGCACTTTTTCCAATGCTATATCCTTTTTGAGATGTGACCGGAACTATATGCAGTACCAGAACAGTACACTGGGCGGCAGCTCCCAGCGCAGCGGTACAGCAATGGGGAAATGTTTGAGAGTTTCTACTGGCTGTTCAGCCACTTAGCAGTTAAAGGCAGAGAGGCCCTTGGTAAAAATAGGCACAATCTTGTTTGCTTGTTCATGCAAATATTTAGTTTGTCTTTCAGAAACAGATTGTGTTTCATACACAAGTTACCAAGATAATAAAAATAATCTGCTATTTAAAAGTAGGATTACTACAAAAGTCATGGCAGAAGAAGATGCTTGGGGGTTTGTGTGTCATATTCAGCCCCCCTCAGTCCATATTTCCTTTCCTCCCATCACAAAGGAGCCCTGATGTTTTTAAAGCTGTTGTCCCTGTGGAGTGGAATTTCTACCCACATCAGTGGTGGTGATATACAGCCTGAGTTGTCTTTGGCAGTTGTAGAGATACTGCAAATGGATAGAAATAATGATTCATTTCTGCCAAGGGAAATTGTGCTGGCTGTAGTGCTCCACTCCTGAGGTTTTAAATTGCATTAGTTGGAATGTGCAATCTATCCATCAGTCTGTAGTAAATCTTATCAGGGATAGGAGTCCAGTAGTACCAAAAGATGCACTCTGTTAATCAAATTCCTTTTGTCCTTTGTTGAAATACTCTCCTCTGAAATTGGCAGTTTGTACCCTAGAAACAGTACTGCTGTTCGTTGTCACAAAACACTACTGCTGGTTGGCTGGTTTTTTATGTAAGTTTTTAGTACCAAAGAAGCATCCTGCTTCAAAAGTGGTAGAATGCATTCTTTAGCCGCTGCTAATTGTACAAAATAGTGTTAAGGCTGGTATGCTGAAAAACAGGATTTTATTAAATATTTTTAATTGCGTTTGATTTTAGAGTTCTTAAACAGTTATTGCTGTGTGACAGTCTTGAAACCAGAAAACTGGAAAGGTGAAGGCAAAGAGTGAACAAAGGCTGTGTCCTGTGATGTTGACAGCGAACCCACGATTGTCCTCCTCTTCACAGCCATCTAGGTGGCATGTATGTTATGCACAGCTGCTTGTGGTTGGCAAAACTCAGAAATCGATAACCTAAGAATGCTCAGGGTTTTTTAGCATTCCCTTCCTTTAGTATGATCTCTGCTACCTGGTTGATTTCTGCTTCAGTGTTGTCCATAGTGGCTGAATCTGAAACAAAAGATAATAGGAGCCAAATGGAACTCTGGTCTGTTCTCCCATCATGAAAATTAATGCTATATGGATCCTAACTAATATGAGGGTCTCCTTGAAGACAACTTGGGATCTAAGAGGAATCTCAAGGGTGGAGATAAAACACTAGGACATTTTCCTTATTTCCATTGTGTAATAATTTAAGGCTACTGAGCTCTGTGGCTGTGAAAGGAACTCCTTCCAGCTCAGAAGTCTCCCAGAGTACTACAGTTTCATGACACCTTTGAGAGAGATTAACTGCGGTCACACACAATAATTCACTTTCAGTGCAGTTTCCAATTGGATTTTACTGTGTGAACTGGCAAAATCCAGTTGGAAAGTGCATTGAAAGTGGATCGAAAGTGGATTATTTAGGCTGATTTCGCACAAGGAGCTGTGCCGTTGGCACGCCTCCCTTTGCCCTGTTTCCATTGGTCAATTTCCCACTCAAAGCCACGCAGCCGCATTTTGACATACGGCTTTGCCCGATTTCCCTCACGGTTTCATGATCCTGTTTTTTTGAGGATCATGAAACCGTGGGGAAAATTGGGCAAAGCTGCGGGACAAAACGCGGCTGTGCGGCTTCAAGTGGGAAATTGACCAATGGAAACGGGGCAAAGGGAGGTGCACAGCTCGTACAATATCAGTCTTAGTGTGTGTGA